AAAATAGTATCTTGTAGACTTTTCTCCTTTTTCGATCCATTTAGCATTAGATCTATTTGCTATTTTCTGAAAGAGATATCAGTTCTTCCTGGATTTGAGCTTTGGTGTGTTTAGCAAGGAGGTTGTAGTCCCTATATTCAGAGTTTTTGGAAAGTTTGTTGTTAAAGTTGTTTAACTTTTTATGGAGTTGTTGGATTCTTCTTTCTGGTGAAGACTTGGGTTTGTAGGCCCTGATTATTGATTGTATTGCACATTTGTAGAGATCCCAATCCTGAATGTCTTGGATATTCTTAATTACTTCTTCTAATTCTGTTTTCACTTCTGGTATAGACCAGCATTTTCTGTCAAACCGCCAACAAAATATAGTTTTGTGCCTAAATTTGCTTGAAATTTGGCTTTCTACTAATAAGTGGTTTGAGTTGCCAAAGTTTATTTGGGTTTCAAAATTAAGATAGCCATAGTTAGTGTCTATGTATATATAGTCCAATCTAGTAACCATTTTTTGTTTGCTCTGTGTATTTTGGTAGAAAGTCAGAAAAAGGTTATCTTTTGAGAAGCTTGCTGTATCTATAAAGTCTTTTAGAAGTTCTAGTAGTAGATCTCTTGAGTTGTTATTTTGTATAGCTGCTTGACTAATATGGTTAATTCTAGGATCCAGATTTGTATTAAAATCACCTGCTATAATGTTTAGAGTGTTTGTGTCTAGTATTGTTAAAGAATTGATATCTATCTTCATGGCTTGGAGGAGCATAGATATTTGTAATAGCATATCGGCAGTGCTTGTATGTTAGTTTTGTTGAGATTACTCGATCATTATGTAAGACTTCCAGCCAAAATGGCTGTTTTGGAGGTCCAAATTGAGTCATATTCCCATTGCTGCAAGAGAAATCTTTTTGTTGTGATATCTTTGAGATTTGTTTCTTGTAAAAGTATTAAGTCTAATTTGTAGGATTTTAGTAAAGTTAATGTTTTTTGGGCCTTTAAATTGTTGTTAAGGCCTTTTATGTTCAGTATTGCAATCTTGATTATAGATTAATTAAGCCACACTTGTGGTTGTTCTATTAATTAAATGTAAGGAAAAAAACCCCTTTGAGGGTTGTTCTCCTTTCTGTTTTGTTAACTATAGTAAATGGAGAATAGCCTCCTTTCTTGGTCTTGTTTTTATATTTTTCTTTCCTTGAAGTAACTAGAATGAATTCTTTTTTGTCATTGTTGTTTATTTCCTTGTGAGATATGAAATCTGTTTCCATGTCTGTTGCTAAATCATTATTTGTAGATATATTTGTAGCTTCTGGTTTGTTTTTAGTTGTTTCCATCTCATTTG